TATATAGAGGATATGATAGATTACGACGAAGCGTGTTTTATATAGAAGATATGATTGATTACGACGTAGTCTGTTTTATATAGAGGATATGATAGATTACGACGAAGCGTGTTTTATATAGAAGATATGATTGATTACGACGTAGGATGTTTTATATAGAGGATATGATAGATTACGACGTAGTATGTTTTATATATAGGATATGGTTGATTACGACGTAGTGTGTTTTATATAGAGGAAATGATAGATTACGACGTAGTGTGTTTTATATAGAGGAAATAATAGATTACGACGTAGTGTGTTTTATATAGAGGATAGGATTGATTACGACGTAGTATGTTTTATATAGAGGATATGATAGATTATGACGTAGTGTGTTTTATATAGAGGATATGATTGATTACGACGTAGTATGTTTTATATAGAGGATATAATAGATTACGACGTAGTGTGTTTTATATAGAGGATATGATAGATTACGACGAAGTGTGTTTTATATAGAAGATATGATTGATTACGACGTAGTATGTTTTATATAGAGGATATGATAGATTACGACGTAGTATGTTTTATATAGAGGATATGATAGATTATGACGTAGTGTGTTTTATATAGAGGATATGATAGATTACGACATAAAACATTATGTATAGAGAGTATGATTGATTTCGACGTTATATATCCTGTATATGGGATGCTGGATTGATTTCCCCTTGACCCGTATCGGAACATAAGGATGTATCGAACACAGTGGTCATTTTAATAAATGTGAAATGGTTAGACTAATTTACGCTCAATTATCCAGCAATGATTTTTGTTTGTTGGTTGGTTGTTTTAGTATCGTACTGTCCCAGGATCACGACACCTATTGTTTTTGAAACACCCCTTCGTACTTTTGCGGCGTCTGAATCACACTGTCCGATATGTCAGTTTATAGTTTCATACTTATACCATTCACGGATCTTGGGATATGTTAAAGCAACTGTAAGCATTTCTTTCTATACGATAACACGTGGTCTACATAAGTGGACCTTCGTCTAATCCTAGGTTGTAAGATTAATCCATAGAAATCAAGGCTGATTATATAAATCGACCATGAAAAGGAATTACACAACTGCTTAGTATGTAATTATGAATATATTGTACTCTTGTATTATTTGTGCGAAGCACAATTACACTACACCAAATTAAGTGACTAAGGCCATATACAGTGCACCAGGAATATCTCTGAGGAACAAAAAGAAAATATTCACTGTTTCTGATTAACTGCTCAGCATTTCGTAAACTTATCTTTTAAATGTATACATTCTTTTCAAGGGAAAAACCTTGCATACAAATAGTGACATGGATGGAAGCTTAGACGTCCCACTGACTATTTTGTCATCCAAGTATAGCGATATACATGGTCTTTGTAATGTCGACCGAATGTTGTCGTTCAACGTGATTTCTGGAATGTCACCTGATTGCTGACATGTCTCGTGTGTGATGTCGACTAATGGTTGTGATGTCACCTAGGTGCTGTCGTGTAATGTCCCTATGTTACCAAATGGTCGGGGTGTTCCTGTCGATAAAGATAAAATTAAAATTGACAACTGAATATGTAAAAATAACAAAAATTTAATTTCAAATCTGTTCAAAACTAAAACAAAATTTACGAAAAATAATTAAATAAAGTACATGTAATATGACCACTGGATATGTAACGATAATGAATTAGTATACATTGTATTTCTGTCTTTAAAACAGACATGTAACAGGATTACAGAGCACTACTATCATGTAAAGGTGTAGGACGGAGCCTGTTTTACATATGTTACAGGATTACAGGGCTCTACTATCCTGTAAAGGTGCAGGACGGAGCCTGTTTTACACATGTTACAGGATTACAGAGCTCTACTATCATGTGAAGGTGTAAGCCTGTTTTACACGTGTTACAGGACTACAGGGCTCTACTATCCTGTAAAGGTGTAGGGCGGAGCCTGTTTTACACGTGTAACAGGATTACAGGCCTCTACATTCCTGTAAAGGTTAGTACGGAGCCTGTTTTACACGTGCAACAGGGTTATAGAGCTCTACTATCCTGTAAAGGTGTAACCTGTTTTACACGTGTTACAGGACTACAGGGCTCTACTATCCTGTAAAGGTGTAGGACGGAGCCTGTTTTACACGTGTAACAGGATTACAGGCCTCTACATTCCTGTATAGGTGTAGGACGGAGCCTGTTTTACACGTGTTACAGGATTACAGAGCTCTACTATCATGTATAGATGTAGGACGGAACCTGTTTTACACGTGTTACAGGATTACAGGGCTCTACTATCCTGTAAAGGTGTAGAACGGAACCTGTTTCATACGTGTTACAGGATTACAGGGCTCTACTATCTTGTAAAGGTGTAGGACGGAGCCTGTTTTACACGTGTAACAGGATTACAGGGCTCTACTATCATGTAAAGGTGTAGAACGGAACCTGTTTTATACGTGTTACAGGATTACAGGGCTCTACTATCCTGTAAAGGTGTAGGACGGAGCCTCTTTTACACGTGTAACAGGATTACAGGGTTCTATACATTCCTGTATAGGTGTAGGACGGAGCCTGATTTATACGTGTTACAGGATTACAGGCATCTACATAACTGTCAAGGTGTAAGGACGGAGCCTAGTTTACACGTGTTACAGGATTACAGGGCTCTACTATCATGTAAAGGTGTAGGACGGAGCCTAGTTTACACGTGTAACAGGATTACAGGGCTCTACTACCATGTAAAAGTGTAGAACGGAACCTGTTTTTTACGTGTTACAGGATTACAGGGCTCTACTATCCTGTAAAGGTGTAGGACGGAGCCTGTTTTACACGTGTAACAGGATTACAGGGTTCTATACATTCCTGTATAGGTGTAGGACGGAGCCTGATTTATATGTGTTACAGGATTACAGGCATCTACATTACTGTCAAGGTGTAAGGACGGAGCCTAGTTTAAACGTGTTACAGGATTACAGGGCTCTACTATCATGTAAAGGTGTAGGACGGAGCCTAGTTTACACGTGTTACAGGATTACAGGGCTCTACTATCCTGTAAAGGTGTAGGACGGAGCCTGTTTTACACGTGTAACAGGATTACAGGGTTGTATACATTCCTGTATAGGTGTAGGACGGAGCCTTATTTATACTTGTTACAGGATTACAGGCCTCTACATTACTGTCAAGGTGTAAGGACGGAGCCTAGTTTAAACGTGTTACAGGATTACAGGGCTCTACTATCATGTAAAGGTGTAGAACGGAACCTGTTTTTTACGCGTTACAGGATTACAGGGCTCTACTATCCTGTAAAGGTGTAGGACGCAGCCTGTTTTACACGTGTAACAGGATTACAGGGCTCTACTATCATGTAAAGGTGTAGGACGGAGCCTAGTTTACACGTGTTACAGGATTACAGGGCTCTTCTATCATGTAAAGGTGTAGAACGGAACCTGATTTACATTCGTCCCAGAATTACACGGATGTAGACTGTAGCATACATACAGGACTGCTCACACCTAAGATAGCCACAGTTGACTATGGAGCACTGCCCCGATTTCCGTGTATTTAATTTCGAGGTAACAATCTAGTTTTACATCACAGTTGTAATTATCACAGACTGAATAAAAATATCGATACAAAAAACAAAACAAAAGAATCTAAATTCTACAAGAATAAATGGTTTTATGGGCCCACTTGTGTAAAACATCTCAACTCTTGAGATTTCCTTAAGTCTAAGATTTCCCATAGACATTACATTGCTTGAGATTTTCCTTAACTTTAAGATATTTTTTACAAGTGGGCCCTGGACTCCAAGGTTAGCACAAATTTTACAACCTCAAAAACAAAGAGAGAGAAAGAAAGAAAAATAAACAGACACATTGATAATGAAGACATTACCATTACAACAGTTCTAATAATGGATATGTACCCTCTCGACTTTATCTGCGCAGAGTAGTAATACAATTGTGACCGTATTTGTCGATATTATCAATATCATTATAATAGAGTTACAAACGAACAACTAATATTCTTCAGTCTCGTAAAACATGAAAAATATATAATTATCAATAATTCTAAACTAGCATTTGTTTCAGTCTTGCATAAGAAAGAAGTTTTCTGGGCGAAATAAAAGATTTTGATATTGAAATGACAATATTACTTGTGCATGTACAGTCTCCAGCAAAAGTCAAAGGGAGATTACTCACCACATACACAAAGTAAACAATCCATTATCGGCTAGTTTATCACACCAAATAATTTTTTAAACATTTTCCTCTGAATTGTTTTTAGCATAAATGACTGTGTGTTGTATGAATAAACATTAGCAAAATCATTGCGCATAGGCGTCATATTAATTATCACAAGAATCAATTTCAGTATGAATACATAGACCACCCCTAGGCCTTATATATATATAGGGTCATACACATCCCTAGTAGGGAATATTAGTAGACATTTTACGAGTTCAGAATTTTTTTAAATTATTTTTCTATCGAGTGTTGATTTCACGCCCTAAAACGCCCAATGATAATCCCTACACATCAGGCGAGGTACAAACATACACAATGCGATCAAATCATAAACCCCTGTGATTAGAATGATTCTCTTAAACAATCATACTCAATTTCCTAACACAATTAACATGAATCTGTTACTCAATTAAACTTTCTTTTATCCTCTGTCGAAGATAGTATATCCTCAGACACCTACACAACGACAACCATATCCACTCGTACTGTCAGTACCATTCTCTTGATAATGAATTATAAAAGAGATGACAATGATATCTATCACAATGTTAGAGCAACAAGTCCACCAATTCCTCGTATCATGACTGCGTTCCAGTTCCTCTATGCGACACATTATGTTGAGTTACTGTTGATCAAGAAGAACTTTGGTTTCAGTTTAATCACCGGCATTACGGGTAGCCATCAGACCAGGGTGTTGCCCTCACTAATGGTCTGTATGTGAAGCTGTCCTGGCTAAGTACATGTACTCTCTACAGTTCGCTAATAGTCTCCTCAATATCGTCTCGGAGTTGTCGTCTGGTGTCCAGTAACTGTCGCAGTTCTGTGGCAACCTGGCCCAACCTCCTTCCCAAGTCGCGTACTTCATCCAGCTGTTCCTGGCGCCTGCGCTCTCGTTGGTCTTGGAAGGCGGCGATATCATTGCGCCCCCTATCTACCTCTGACGAAAAAGTGGTCATGAGAGAGTCAAGTCTGCTTCTACTCTCTCGAAGCCGCTCGCGAATGTTTATGTTGCCAGGGTTTTCCTGTTCCACTCTGTTCCTTGCCCGTAGTCGGCTAGCGGTTGTGGTGCCCTGGGGTCGGTTGTCTGTGTTGGAGGAGGAATTCCTGGTAGCTGAGATGGTATTCCTAGATGTCGAGGTGGCATTATTTCTGGCGGGCGTGGTGGGCTGCCTTGAAGGCTGACTATGGCCAACAATATTCGGGAGAGTCGGCCCACGACGGGTTTGTGATCCGGACGGTCGCGGGACGGAAGGAGGGTGTGGGGTTCTTGGAGTCGACAAAGAGCCCGTAGCATTGTCAGAAGAGGCAGCTACTCTAATATTCCGACGTGCTATAGATCGCGTATGACCTAGACCAGATGGCGCCCGCTGTTCTGTCGACCTTGACAGCAGACGACCTTGAGAGGTTACATTGTTCGTTTCCTCTGTCGGCCGTATTAACAGACGACCGTTTGATGACGTTGTCTCGACAACGTCTCTGACGATGTAATTGGATGGGACAGCGTCCGGGTCTGAAGACACTGCGTCCGTTATTTGTGGAATGTCATTTTCACGGAACATCTGTGCCTCTCTGTTGCTGGGTCGGTATGGCAGACCTGTTTCTGTATAAGTTGTGTGCTGGTGTGTCCCCAAACTCTTCAGTGGACCTTTCCATTTACAGCTTCTGACCAAGCACTTCACTTTCTTGAGCCCTATTCTCTCTGCAAGTTCCCTACATCTGATGTAAGAATCGGGCATGCGCACACGGCATACCGGACACCTGCTGTGATTTTCAGCGTATCCGCTTGTAGTCCATACAAATATACACGGGTAGCAGTACTTGTGGTTGTTGATACACATCCGCGGGTCTTTCAGAATTTGGTAACTGAAAATGTAGCAGAAAATAAATATGAGCATTGAAAAGGGGGACAACTATGTGTAGTGAATAATTCGACAATGGATTGTGATTGTTATAACAAAATTAAAATGCCTTCCGAACTGTTTGAAGCACGTGCATGCAGCAGTGAGAAAACTTATCCCAAATATTTCATTTTCAAAAACAGGAAAATGTGCTGTGGACCGATATATTACGAATGTATTATCCCCAAATCTCTCCCCATCCCTCCCCGCCCGCCAGTTGGAGTCAACAGCTGAACAATCTGCCCTGTTTCAGGGATAAGTTAATGGCAAACAAATCAATCTGTTTTATTTTAAAGGTAAGCATACAGCTAGGAAACCAATCTGTCTTGTTTTAAAGGTAAGCATACAGCTAGGAAACCAATCTGTCTTGTTTTAAAGGTAAGCATACAGCTAG